GAAGAGTATGGGAAGCATTCCAGAAAAGTTGTTTTGGAAGAAGTGAGCGGTTTAGCTTCTAGATCGTGGAGAAAACTATCTCCAAATGATAAGAAAATATTTAAAGATTTTTCAGAAAAAATAAATAAAAATAGAATTGTCGTTGTTAGTAACATAAGATTCTATTCTCCCAACACTGGTGGTAATTCACAATTACTTTTTTTTTTTTTTTGAAATATTATTATCATAATTTTGTTTTTAATTAAAAAAAATTTTTTTTTTAGTACAAGTAAGCGAACGCACTGAAGAAGATATCATCTTAAAAGTTTCGGAAGAGGTTGAACAAGATATCATCTCTGAACTTTTTCCATATCATTAAAATCGTTGTGTATTTTCTTTTTCATTTTCACTTTTTATTTATTTTTTTTATTTTATTTTATATTGTTTTTTTTGTTGTTGTTATATATTTTATTTTATTATTTATTATTTATTTCGATTGAGCTTTTTCGATTTATTTATTTTTATTATTATTAATATTAATACTCGATTTTTTTTAATTTTTTCGATATCACATAAGGCAAACATGGTTACAAATTTTGAATATTAATTAAAAACGCTTTTTAATTCGTATAAATATGTTAGACTGCAAAAAATACTTTAATATTTACTTAATTTTAGAATGTTATAAACTTACAAAGTCAAAAAATAAATGCTGTTTCTGGCCAAAGTTTAAATAATCCACTTGCCGATTCTAATTGATATTTTGCATCCATATAAATTTTACATATGGCAATTAAGTTTCTTATACGACGGGATTGTCCTTATTAGGAGAGATTCGACTTTAATTTAAAATAACTTTACAACCAATTTTTTTCCAAATTTTTGGGTCTTGAGAGTTTTTGAGTACGTAAATATGTAAAACAAATGCCAATTCGTGTAATACCAAGTAGCAAATGTGTTAATTGCCAAAGCCAAAAAAATTTTTTATATTCATTTCATCTTGAATAAGTAAACATCACTGATTTAGACAACCCAATTTTCGTGTTACAATGTTATGATTTTTAAAGTACACATTAATATTTTTAAAAGGTCATATTTTTATTTTTTAAGATGTTCAATCGGTCGGGCATTTTTGGTATGTGTTTCATCGCTAACTATTTAGTTTGGCCTTTATCATTGACTTCTTTTTTTTATCAAGATTTTCTTTTTCCCTCAGCGCGGGGGAAAATCAACTGCAGATAATAGAGTAGTAGAATTCCAACAACATATACTACAAATTGACTTTAGAATATACGTTCTAAACACGTAAAAAGTAAAAGCAAAAATATAAAAAACTTACTAACCTCACTGTGAAAAAAGAAAATGATAAATAAACTATATATTTATAAATCAATTAACATGTATTTTGTTACTGTTTTTATTTTATTAAATTAGCAAGAACGTCTAAAGGTATTGTTCGTAAAGATTTTGACCCTTTGTAGTATGTGGTGAAGGAGATATTAGTAAAGAATTACAAAAGAGTGCTCTATACAAATGTTCAACCATTCAATATTTAAATGTTCAAATTGATGTTTAACTATGCAAAGAAGAAGCATTATAATGAATTAGTAATTATGAACGACCAGCCAAAACAAAAACAAATATTGATAAGTGCAAACCAACACAAACGCATCTATCTAAATAAAAAGGATTATCAAGATCTTTAGAAGCATATAATATTTAACTCTTCAAAATCAATGATTTAGAAACAGCATTGAATGCATATATGACGGAAACAGAAAACTCACATAATTATGTTAATATCAATATCTTTATATCATAATCGTTCCAAATCTGTTTGGGTTGGGATAGAACCCAAACAATTCATCAAAACTGTGATTGATTACCTGGCCGAGTTCTTTACCCAACCTGATTCAGAGCTCTAATAGGGACTAAATTTGTCTTTGCCACTTGTCAATGTTTTGTTAACCAAATTATCTGGAGTAAAAACTCCAATAAATGTTTTCTTTGCTATTATTCTCTACAAATGTTAGATTGATATAATTGTAAAAAAAAAAATTCACAACCAATGAAAATCGTAATAATATTAATATACAGTATATAAAAATGCAAGTAAAATTTATATTTTTTATTAATTTGTCATTTTTGATAAATCAAATAATCTTAGTAGTCTTCCTTCCAATAGTTATCTTTAAAATTAAAATTTCTATTATCAACTAATATTGATTTTAATTTTTTCGGAGATGTTTGTTTTAGAACTGCAATAATTCTATTACAATCATCTATTTCATCCAAATGAAAGGCTTTATGAAATACAATCCTTTCTATTTTGTTACAATTATCAAATATTTTCATTATTTCTTCATAAACTTCAAACCTATATTGTGTTGATAAGTCTAATAGGTTTTTACAATATTGTGCTATTGATTGAAATAGCTCTCCTAAAGATTCGATATCATCTGGGAAACCATAAAGTTCTAGATTTTTTAAATTTCCTCCATTGATTTTAATAAAATCAGACAAGTCTGATAGAATTGACCAACTATAACAAATATTCAATTTCACAAATTCAATGTTTGGTAATAAAATATCTTTTAAATATTTTGTTTTGTAATTATTAATTTTTAACAATAAAGTCTTTAAATTTTTAAATGTTGGTACTAATATATGATCTAAATTGTTATACCCATTACTTGAATAATATATTATTGATTGTGAATGTGCTAGAGTTGCTTTTTTTGTAATTATCTGATAAAGCTTGTCCATGAAATAATTTAATTGTTAACCACTATATTTGATTTTGCACTTCAATTAGTTGAACCAAGCTATCTTCATGTGTATCATGATCTATTCTTAATGATTGAATATTTTTGCAGATCTTTGGTAATTTATTGACTAGAGTAACGACGAGTGGCGGGCGATAACCACCACCACCATCCTTAAAACACTTATCCACGATCCTCGGCAATGCCTTTATTGTCGCTTCTTTTACTTCGAGGCATGTTTAAAAAAAAAAGAAGTTTGTTATTTGATCGACGCGTACACATTAATTATTTATCCTATTGGTTTTTTTTTTTGGTATATAGGACAGACGAGAATTGATTTTTTTTTTTTTTGGAAAAACATTAAAAATAATTTATTTTTTGACAGTCCAAGATGACAAAACGTGAGTGTTGTTGTTGGTTTGATTTGGATCACCTAAAGAATACGTGTTAATAACTAACCAGAGGTACTATTTTTTATTTGTATTGTCTTTTTTGGTTATTATAAATATTTTAATTGGAATCAAAACGCGGAGCAGATCTTGCTGGGTAATTACAAGATTTTCATTGATAATATTTTGCTTTGCGTAATTGTAATAATAATACTATTATTAATATATAATTACAAGATGTCAAGGCAGCACACCATTTAAAAATAAACAATTCAAATATGCAATGTTTGATTATCGAAAATTTACAAGTGTTGAAGCACGCAATGCTACCTTGAGCACATTACAGTCATTCTCACACGTTCCTCATGTACAAAAGGCTAATCTTGACCTGGCGACCCGAAGATATGATGATGCAATTGAATTCCAGAAGGCGCGTGGATCTGGAGTTTATCAAGATTGTATCAATCGTCAATGATGCTTTCACTAATCTTCCCAGACCAGAGAAGGCCGCTGGCATGCTGGTTGAAAAGTTACCTGCAACAATCCCTACTCTAGGATAAGGATGGCTCTGCGATCAAGTTGCAACTCTGGAGGAATATTAAGAGAATCTGCGGTTCGTGAGGTCACAATTCAAAGCAGGGCTGGTGGCCCTGAAATTGCATTTGGACTCTGATGTTAAGAGGAAGCTGTAAAATAAAACGGATTAGATTTTGTTAGGTATGTTTAAGGCTTTACATGAGCCAGCTTGCAAGCTTACTAAGTCATTTGGCTTGTGAGGAGCTTTAGGTATGTTACATATAGATTAATAATTTTCATAAATACTCTAATTTTTGTTTGAACTTGTTATTTAAATAAATGGGGTAGGGGGTATAACACAATGCAATCATCACACAAATGCCAGCTATCAACAATCAATGCCCATATGGTAACATCCAGCCTGGTCTGAGAGGAAGATAAGTAAAAGTTTTGTCCAAAGTCTTCCAGCATGTTCAATCGTTTCACCTGTGGAAAAAATTTCCACATTTATGGAGCGTGCTTAATTGCACAGCACTTGTATGTTTGTGATAGGAAATTTTAATTAAATCTGACATCTGCAATTAACATCAGATTTATTATTCATAAGGAACCATAATTGATAATCAGGAAAAGTAATTTATTTGTGAACCCCAGAGATCTGGGTAGACACACACTATTAAAAGTTTCATTTCTGCATGGCCTTGGTATCATTACTACTTGGGTGATGCAATTGTTTGTTATGTCAATGATGATATCAAATGTATCACATAATAATCATGACCACCATGAATATTCAATGGATGGAGGCATTCACATACAAGGAAATGAAGGAAACGATTAAATAGCTAAGTCATGTTTGTTTTATTAAAAACATATGATTAATTATATTTAAAATATACAATAAAATAATTTACTTATTTGTATTTCTTTGGTCAAGATTGACAAGTTTTTTCATAACGAACTGAACACAAACTTTCCATCCAAACTTAACTTAACATTAAAAAAAAAAAAATTAACGTTAAAAAAAATAAATGTTAAATGTTAAAAAATTTCTAAATTTCATAGATTTTAAGAGAAATAAAATAAATAATTTTTGTTTATATATATTCAAATGGTGTATATAAATTTGTATATATGTAAAATAATAAAATATTTCATATAAGTTATATAATTGTATTTTATATTTTTATTTTATTTATATTAATTAATAGTAGTAATAAGTTTTAATTAATCTCAAAATAAGTTCAATGAATAACAAAGAATTATAATTAAAATATTAAAAAATTCCCAAATTTTCAAAAGATCTCATCAAAAAAAAAAATAAGAAATCAAAAAAAAAAAAAAAAAAGGATTATTTAAGTTTCATAAATATAAGATAACATGCCTAATTTTGAGAAAAAAAGAAAGAAATGAATTAGTGCCAAGCTGTTGTTTCAAAAGGACACACATATATATCAAATATAAGAATAATATTCTTACATGAACAATGGGCAATTGTGATGTTTTCTTTTTGCCTTTATTAATGTTGTCATTATTTTCAATGTTATTATTTTCATCGCCGTTAATGTTGTTATCAATTTCATCTCCAAGGATGCATTCTTCCTCTTTGTACTCATCAAAAGATGCAATTTTTTTTTTATCTTTAGCAAAACCTTCTGGCACAGTAACAACTAGCTCTTTCAATGGTAATTTATCCATACTAACAACATTATGAACATCTTCCATTAACAACATACTAAGAGGCCATAATTTATCATCATCTGGTGTTCTGATATCCTGAGCACCTATCACTAAAAATCCTGAAGGTGGTAGTGTATTGTATGCTTCAATTGCTAATTTCATTATTGTAGTACGATAGATGGGGATATTTTTAGGGTGTAATGATGTATTTGGTATGTGTGGTATTACTATTAGTGCTGTTGGTGTTGGTGTTGGTCTTGGTGTACTATTTAAAAGTTTTCCTAAATGTGATATATCATCAGATTCTTCACCAAGATCACATTTTAATCCCTATTTGAAAATGATAAATAAATAAGCAAATAACTAATAATAAATAAATCATCACTTTCAATTTATTTGATGTTCTATCAAAAGGCCTTTACCAAAGCAAGAAGCATTTTATGATTTTCTTGAATTCTTTTTTGTCTGATTTTTTCATATTCAGGAATTTCATTATCATCTTTATCTTGGTCTAGATTTTAAATTAATTAATCATAAAATATGAATTTAAATACATCTAACAATAATCTCTACTATAATTATGCATTTTATTACCATTAATCATTGATTCCAAATTATCATCAGAAACATCATTATTATAATTTCCCTATTGAAACAATTTATTGTTATATAATTAGGAATGATAATGACTATTATTTAACAAAAGTTTATATATAAAGTATTACCTCTAACTTATTATTAAATTTTATATTAATTTCTTCATAATTTGCACAATCTCTGCCAAATCTTTCAACCTAATAATAACAATATTTTATAAACATCCAATAAATAATTCAAAAACAATTACTAATAATTAATATATATATACCATCCTTGAAGTGCAAAGTTGTACAAAGGTGTATTTATCTGATGGTTTAAATGTCCAAGTTGTACCCATAACAACACTTTTACGTGCAATAGGCAAAGTAGGGATTTCTCTTAAATTTCTTTCATATGTTACTTGATTTTCCAACATAGAATAATCTTAAAATAAATAAATAATAAAATAAAACTTTAATAAACAACTTTTTCAAGTAATTCAATCAAGTAATTAATTGAATAAATAAAATACCAGGTATTAATAACATTTTGTCATTCTTTTCTTTATCTGTTTTTCTAAATGTTGCAATGAATTCATGTGTAAACATTAAGAAATCATATTGAACACAAAGATATGTTCCTAGTCCAAATGCTTGACAATATCTTTGACGTTTTGCAACCTATTAATAATTAAATAAAAATTAGAATAATTAAAAATAATCATTTATAAAAAAATTTAATTTATTACCAATTCTTCTATTTCAAATCCTTGATTTATATATTGTCTAAATAAATTAAAGCTGACAGGGACATAAAAACAATGTTCTCTGTTATCACCAATTCCAAGTGTAATCCGTTTTCCAAACTTTAATAATCTATTATTATTTAATATTTTTTTAATAAATTTATAATTTTTTAAAATAAAATAAATACATTTTATAATTCTACCTCCATGATTCCTCAATAACTTTACTCATCTCCATTGCAAATTCTTTACAATTTGCAAACCTTGATAAATCTCCATCTATATGTGTTGAATATTCAACACTGAAAAAAATTTTATTATATAAATTTAAAATTAAAAAAAAAAGTTTTACTTTATTTTATTCTAGTTTTTAACTTACCAATTCTTATATGGAGGATGACTTAATATATGATCAAATGATTCATCCTCAAATATTGCACCTTTTAAACTCCTTGAATCTGCTTGAAGAATAATTGGTCGATGTTCAGCTGTGATCCCTTGATTTGGTGGAATTGCAAATGAACAATTGCATTGTGACAATGCAACAGCAGCCTAATAAAAAAATCAATCATTGAACATAAAGCAGATCATTGCTGCCATTACTAACATTATTAACACCTACTACAATTATTTGCTAGCTAATGTTAATAACTTACAGGATTAATATCAACACCAACAAGTCTTTTTGAAAAAAAGAAATAATAATAAAATTCAAATTAATTATTATTAAAGATAAATGATTATTATTAATAAAATTAATTAATTATTATTATAACCTACTTTCTGCATAGCAGAAAACATTCAATGGCATCAGTCCCTAATATATAAAACATGAATAATTAGTATATGTAAAATAAAAATAACAAGGTATAAAAAAATTTAATTTATTCAACCTCTTCCAAGGAAATTTGATAAAACCTTATCATTCTTTCTAGTATAACGAAGTATGGCTCTACAATGTATAAATTTTATAAAGTATGAGCAAAAAATTTCAAGGATCAAATTGATTAATAACCATTGGATATTTGCCTTCGAACCGTTTGTGGAAGCCATGTACCATGATAATCAGTACCACTATGTGTTGCCCCTAAAAAAAAAAAAAATTCAAAATATAAATATTTTAAAAATCTCTTGAATTAAAAACAGTAATAAAAATAATTAAATTTAAAAATATATTTATTTACATCTTGGTGCACGACCAGGAATGTCAAAATAAGAACTATCAAATGTTAATGAGAACAATTGATTTTCAGCTGGTTCATAACTATCAAGGTACAAAGCATGCGATTCCAAATCATCAAATTTTTTGTCAGAACAAATAGTTCTAGTGAGATATGGTCTATAAATATAATCCTCGCTACTAGTTATATATTGATTTGTTTCCAAATGTTGCATGTCACTTGCATTATTGTTGTTTATAAGAACTGATTCAAAACATTCTTCACACATTAATACTCCATTATAACCTATTTTTATGAAGAATTTTGTTGTTTACTAAAAATTCAATTAATCATCAAAATTAATATATATATATTTTTTTTACCTTTCCTCCAACGAGGAGATTCTTCTGCCCAACAATATGAGCATTGAATTTTTGATCCTTTACCACGACTTGGAAGTGAACTCTTGGTTTTTTTCTTCATTCCTATAATATAAAAATTATTATTATCATCAATATCAAGCTAAAAAAAAAAAAAGATTAAATTCATATATTATATTGATATTATTATTACCAGCTACACGAGCTTTTTGATTAGCAACAGCTATCATGGCTTGTTTTGTGATTTGGTCATCCTTTATTTTCTTTACACCTAAACAAACAAAAATTAAATTAAATTATAAATTCATTAATCAAATCAATTAATTAAATTTAAAAAATTCACTGACATGTTTCTTCATAATCATCTTTTGAATGTTGATGACTTTCTGGAAATCTTTCTGCATAGCACTAATTAATTGGATAATTAATTAAATTAGTTAGTTATTTATATAAAATACATTAATAATAACTTGATAACTTTAATTTCTTTCTTTATTTACTTGTTGACATAAATCAAATGAAGTAAAGAATTTAGATTCACATGGTTTACAAGTCCACCATTTGTCTGCTTGTAATTCACATGAACAAACATCACATCTATAAACTTCGTTATAATATTCTATCCATAATGTATTTTTTTGATTAAAAAAATTGTTTAAAAATAAAATACAAAAAAAAAGTAAATGTTACAAACCTGTTTGAGCATAACGTGATTCATGTGTGGGGCAATAAAAAATTACGCCCATTTCAAAATGTGAAAGGGGTTTTTCAGTACATGCAAGATGATAACTTTTTGCACATTTTGGATCAAAACATCCAATTGTTGCTCCTCTTTCTTTACATTTTGCACATTTCTAAAAATATATATTAAATAATTTTTTTAAAAAAAAAACCCATCATCATATATATAGACTGCAACTCATGTTTAATAACATACCATACTTCTGCCTCTTTTCCAAGCTATAGTGACATTATACCATTCATTATTTTTGGTAACATAAACTTCGGGTGAATATTTTGCACAAGCATAATGTGACCAAAATCTTTTTTGTCTTTCACCATGTCGTGTATAAATATTTGCAATAAATGGATAAGGACCAATGAAGTTGCCTAACTGATTAGGATCATCATCATTACAGAAACAACATATCTTACGTGAGCTCCAAGCTTTAAGGTAAAGATATCCCATATCATTCTCAATTGGTATGTTGCTATTTAATATTTCAAGATTTTCTTCAGTGTAAGTTGTGTCACAAGTATCCTTATCAAATGTTGAAATTACTTCTCCCTTTGATGACATTTTAATAGCATCATCATCTATGATTGACTGTACTGCAAAGGAACAACGAGGATGTTCATGATAATTTGGAAATTGATGTCCATAGCACCTAACAAATAAATTATTAATTAGTAAATATTACAATAATAATCTAATAAATTTATTGATTAAAAAAGTCATGCTAACCATGCACAAAGTTCAAAACTCTTATAATCATTTCCTTCAGAAGGTGATTCACAATAAGTGCAGTAATATCTGTTGGAGAACATAGTTTTTATAAATAACAAATAATGCAAAGTTTGGCAATTTTAATATATATTTACCTGAATTGTTTAATTATTACATTACATTGATTACAATATATACACCATTTATCATTATCTACAAAATTATAAAAAGTACAAGTAAATATTTTATTGTCATCCCTAACATTATTAATTAATCAATTACCTTCAAAACTCCCAATTCGTTCACCATTTATGACAAATTCCAATTGAGACACCTGGCTATTATCATCATTAATATCATATTTTCCACTCTTTCGTTGGTGTCTATCTTTTTTATTGATCAAATGTAATGATGATGATGATGATGATGATGATGATATAACTTTGGAAGAATTTTGATGAGCATAGGTATCAGGTTCCTTAATTATTTGTCTTATGCGTAGTCGATCACTTGTGATATCTATCCACTCGTCATAAAATGCAGGCACATCATCATAATGAATTAAGATTCTACAACCTTTTGATGCAATTATAGTTGCAGGCATCCATTCCCTCAATCTATTACGAACTTCAATTTTATTACCTAATTTGAAACGTGTCTTTAACTTTGCAAGAATATTGCTATCAGTTAATATTACATCATTACGGGCACTACGACGTGTGTTTCTTGCAAAATAAAAATCACTAAAGTCAAATGAATCATCTAAAGGATCTTTAGTGATGAATTGTTCAGTTTGTTTATTTTGAATATCAGAATTATCAATTGCAGTTTTTAATTTTTTGTGGTTATGATTAGTGTTGTCACTTTCAATTGATGTTGGAGAAGTACTTGAAAACCCCTTTTCAGAATATGTGGAATAATTTGATAATGAAGTTGGTGAAGATGAAGATGGAGATGGAGACTTTGATGAATGAAATAAAGAAGATTGGTTTGCATAATTATCGATTAGTTGTTTATTATTTCTTTTTAATAGAGATTTATAAAAATTCTCAGTTTGCTCAATAAATCCCTCATCCTTTTTCATAACATCCAATTTTTTTTGTGCTTCAACTATTTCTTCTATAGTCATTTCCTTCATTCGTTGACTGCCAGCAGGTATCCATTCATCAAAATAATCACTCCAACCATCAAAGTGTACACGGATTCGGCCATCCTTAACATCCATCATAGTAGCTGAGTACCATCCACCATCACTATAAAACACTTTAACACGTTTATACAACTCAAAACCATATTGAGCACGTCGGGAACGAAATTCAATATCATCATCAAATAATGATCGACAATACAAGCATAAATCAAGACTACCAACTTTTTGCACATTCAAATGTAATATTTTACATGATTCACATAGTTTTGTTTCTGGCTGCTGTTGTTGCTTATTATTATTATTTTTGGATAAAAGTTGTTTTTGTTTTTCAGCAGCAGGTTTGTTGGATAATTTTTTTGATTTTATATTATTGATTTTTTTGTTTGCTTTTGTAACTTTTATATTTTTATTACTGGTAATTGTCACATTGCTGTTATTAATTGTAGTATTTCTGATAATCCTTGTACTTCTTCTAATTGAATTAATTGAACCTCTATAATCATTATTATTATAATTTGTGTTTGTATTTGTATTTTTATTAATGATATTTCTATTTCTATTACCAATGTTTCTAATATTCCTAATAATACTGCTATTATTGTCATTACATATAACAACTTTAGGATTAATATCATAATTATTTGCACTAGCAATAACATTGGAATTATTAATTCTAACACTAACTCTATTACCTATATCATTATTTATATTAGAATTACTATAATTATTACTATTACCTATTCTACTACTATCAAAACTATTACTACTAATATTACTGCTACTAAGACTGCTAAGACTGCTAAGACTGCTAAGGCTGCCAATGCTACTAAGACTACTAGTGCTACCAGTGCTACTAGCTTCACCCTCACTTAATGAGTCTTCAGTTTCAGTCAGAAGGTTACTGCTAAGTGAAGAAGTGTCTGAATCTTCCTCATAAACTCTTTTAATAGACTTCATGGCAAACTTTTTTTTTGTACGTATTGTCTATATTGTCTGTCAAATATATAAATTTATGCAAAATTTACGAAAAAAAAAAAGATTTTCTTTTTTTTTTGCATGAATTTACAATTTCGTATGTACTCTTAATATATATATATAATATAATAATATATATTATTATTGTATACAGTTATTATTTTAATTATTATTTTTTTTAACAATGAATTAGAAACCATCATGGCAAAAAAAAATTGGCGTGTGCTACGAGAAAAGCATTTTTTTTCAATTTGTCAATTTGAAAAGAAAGTTGCAGCTTTTTTAAGCATAAAATTTATGATAAACTTTGACTTGCAAAATAAACAAATTTATTTAAAATTACATAAAACGCGAATATCTTTTAATAAAAAAATTTAATTCAGAATTAATTAAACATCATATTAGTTATAAGTATACTTGTATTTTTTTTCAATTTTAGGTTTTTTTTTTAATTTTTTTTTATATAGTAGATAATCAAAAAACTCAATTCTGTGGGTATAAGTTACACAAACATTAGTAAACAAACCTAATAATAACAAACACCCCTTTTTTTTGATTTGTCTAGCAAATTTACACGATCATAACCTCTGACAAATTATTATTGCTATTTATTTCACATGTTTAAATTTGCAGGAATTTTAACAGTCTTAATATTAACATTTATCATTTGGCCATTCATTAGAAAATGCTAGCCAGAGGTATATACTCCAGTCCACCTCAAATCGATTATGTTCTAACCGAAAATCCTAATGTTTGCACTTCCATGAATGCTCAGAGCATCCATTACATTTAAAAAAGCCTTTGAATGTTTTACAAGGTAGACAACATGTTTAATGCAGTTTACTTTTGTCATGTTCTTTTTTTTTTAGAAAGTGTCGATAACGCACATCAAGTTCATATAGATTATCACCACGACCAACTTCTCAAATAACTTTAAACTAGGCAAGAGATCTATCAAAATTCCCTCTATGACTGGCTATTACATCTTTGAATCCGCAATTACACATGGCGAGTATTCAACAACATCTATATTCTCTTCTAATAATTCATCGAAACCAAGATGTGGATCATTTTTTAAATGATCCCTTATCGATCAATTCATATAATAGATGCTTTGTTTTGAAAATGATTTCAGTTAGGCTCCATACGTACAGAAATTGATGGCATAACTTTTTTTCTTCGCGTTATAAATCAAAATAAATTAGATTCTCAAGATTGCTTTTGAAATAAAAAGATTACAATCGCTGATGAATGTTTTAGATGATGATCTACTTGACAGTTAATTATACTGTAAAATCTGGAAAGATAGCGCATTAACTTTTTAGTAATTTTCATGGTTTGCCACACACAATTTATTATATTAATCGTCACAACTTTGTAGAAAATTGATATTTGTCATCTGGTTATATCTTTCCAGACTACGGTAATTATGATTTTTTTGTAGATTAAAATTTTAATGTAATAAAATGGATATTAATTATCAAATAGAGGTTCTTTGGCGATTTTCCTTCACAACTTCCTAAAATCTCCTCATTTTCACTGGATTTGCCATCTTCTGTTTTTTTTTTCTAGAATAAATACTAGTGGCTATTGCCAAATAATGGCGGTGATGATGGTATCAATTTTTCACAAGTGGATGAATGATATGCAAAAATCTTGCAGCCGATATATATAAAAGAATTGGTAGAGGAGTGACAAATGAAGAATTCTATAATAAGTTACAAGGTTTCATCAAATCCGCTGGCGGAATTAATTTAAATGATATGGAGTGTTTGATAGTGTTGGCGGTAGAAGTAGTAATAACCGTGATGTTAGTGGTGACAAAATCGGAAGGCCACCAAGTAAATTCAAAGGTGGCTAAAATAAAAAATAGCTCAGATTAAGCTGATGTAAATATCTGTCCGTCTATCTATATCTTTATATCACCAATATTAATATCAATATTATAATTTAAATTTTTTTAAATGAATATATTTATTTATGTTTATATATTTAAAGGTCAGAAGAATCATCAGGCTTGATTGTGGAAGAAATGTTAAAGCGTTTAGAGAATATGTAACTTAAAGAAGACAATATAGTTGAGATGTGTAGTGAGAATGGATGAAATCATAGCATCAGTGATGTGAACTTTGACATTTAAAGAAATCAAATGAAATTTCGTAGTCTTTTATACCAAATCAAAAAGCTTATGTAGAAATAGCTTAAAAATCTAGTTTATATATTTAGTGGATGCGTAATAAAAAAATTTATTTATTATTTTTTGTAACGTTTTGTCAAGAAGGTTTCCTTATGGTCCGCTTGCCAAACACTTCATAAATGATGATGTCCGTTTAATTCCATCAAGATAAGTAGCCTCAAAATATTTCCAAAGTTCTTGCTTGTTATCCTTCAAATAAAGGATTAGAGTATAAGAACTCATGGTTACATTGTATTTATCCATAAGAAAAGCATCAAACACCTGATTATTAACTTCTGATATCCTATTTCGAGTAGCTGCTAGCTTTTGCTGTGCAACACAACCAGGTCCATTTATTCATGGATATCTTATTGATACATTTATTAGATTATTTGAATTCTAAAAATTTTTTAGAAACATTTTGAAGTAGAGATTGGAATTGTCCAAAAAATTCCTTAATCGACTACTAGCTGGTCAAAATTCTTTTTAATTTACAAATTACGAATTCATTTCCATTTGAATCTTTCATCTTTTCAAAATACTTCCACACAAAACCATGTGTTATGGATTTTTTTTTTTTTAATGATCTTCTGGAACCACTGCTTAAATCATCGAACTTGAAGCCAATGAACTAATTATTAGACCTTGTATCGGAAACGTTATTAGTTCACATGTAAAATTATCATCAACAACATCACCACCATTGCCACCAGATGGTATTGATACTTCTCTGCATAGAAATTTTCCATAAATTTTTTTATATCACAAAAATCCTTTTTTATTTATAATTGGTCAGACAATAATTATCAATATTAGCGGTATTAACATTAGTATAAGTAATTGACTAAAGATAGTCGACTATTACTATTAGTTGTTCAAAAAAAAAGTTTAGTCAATTCAAGCCTCTATTTTTGAAGTAAAGATTTAATCGATTATAAAAATAAAAATTTTTATTATAAAAAAACACCTTTAGATTTCTTGCAATTCATGATATCTGCAATTATTGGTAATAATCTTTTGTTTACCATACAATCCAGAATTGTTCATCTGAATTAAAGTATTAAAATAATCACAAAATTTATCAACTTATTTTGAATCTCATTATTCTTTACTGATATTTCTGCTTCTAATAGATTATACGGAACACCGTTTAGTGGATTTTTCTCATATAAATAGAACATCAAAGCGCGATCACTTGATTGATCTTTTGAACATGTCCAAAATTCAAGCTATTATCAAATATATTTTTCCGCAAATTTTTCTGGTGAATTATTGCAATCTTTATCCCTACAAACCAACAAAACAATATGTTTTATTGTTAAAAAAATAAATCAATTTTTATTTCTACCAACAAGAATAAATAATTTTAAATTCTCTATCAAAAGAGGTTAATTAAAGATTCTTTTGGCTTTGCACTTTTATCTCAACGAATTAATAATAATATTTCTTATTGTTAAAATTGTTAAAAGGAAATTAGTCTAAAGATTGTTTGGCTTCATTAATACTAATAAAAAATAGACTCGAATAATAAAAAAATGGACTAAAAATAATTAAATCAAAAATTCACTGCCAAAGTGGAATAGTTTGTTTTTAATTAATGCTAACTTTAACAAATAAAGTCACAAGCATCCTATAACAAAATAAGATATTTAGGTCCGGTCTAAGACTGTCAGTGACCAAAGGATCTGATCGTCGTCGGTTCAGTAAATTTTCAAATTTGATTATATTGAAAGTTTATTCGAATTATTTGAATAAATGAATAATAACCTGACTAAAGCGAATACAATAATTTGATAAAACGAATAAAACGATTAATTCAAATAGAACGAATAATTCGAATTAATATTAAGATTGAGTTGTATTACGAATAGAAAACTCACTGTTCATGCAACTATTTGTTAAAGAATAGAGACAATAAATAAATTTTGAATTAATATATATATATATATATATATTGAAATCTGAATTGAATAATAACAAAATAATATTTTTAACAAATAAATTGAAACAAACGCTTTGATGGATAATGGAATTATTATCTTTATTATCAAATTTACAGATGACTTATATACACATGATTATAAAAGAACAAATTAAAATTATTTTATTGGAGAACCAATATCACATTTTAATGAATTGCAAGTATTTGCCATTAATGTTGTTGTTATTGATATTGCTAATAGTTCATCCAAGTCTCTAGGAACAAAAATAAATAAAACAATTTATTATTATCACGGGTAATTGCTAAGGAATAACAGATAATTTATAATCAAAAAAATTTACTTTTCACTTCTTTCATAAAGTGTTATAGTGGTGCATCAAACATATCGCATTATGCTCTTAATGTGGTATCAGTAGGTTCATATTCTGTTGAATAAATGGAAGCAAGGTGTGAAGTAACGAAAATCGATACAGTTTATATACTGGCAATGAATATTTTTTTGTCTTAAATGTATGTGTTATTATCTCAATATAATTTCAGCTAGAAGATATGCAGTAAGGTGGATCTATATATTTTTAGCTTCCCATATAACAAATTGGTTGCGTAAACCAAATAGTTCTTTTACATCAAAGCATTCACACTTGATTAGGTGACGTCACATATTTACCATGAACAAGAAGAAATCAAATTCGTAAAATCAATTGGTGTAGGGAGAATAACTATGATATACAAAGGCCTTTACGACAATAATAAAGAGTATTAAAATATGTACATTCCTTGAATGTTTTCAACAAGGAGATGGAGATAATGGAGAAGTTGGATTTAGCTTGTCTTCTCAAAATACTAATCTCTAATTTAGCTGATTCTGGTAACACCGGTATGATTTATTGTCTTGGCTCCATTATACGAACCATTTGGAGAATGGATATCCTCCTTATCGTAGATAAATTGAAACAGGTAAATGGTATAGGCATAATATATTGCGATTTTCGAAAATGGAATCTATTGAGATATCGGGGATGGTAATCTGAAGATTTGCTGCAAATGAGCCACTTTTACTGGAGCTTTGAAGACATGTTAGATGATGCATTACAGATCAAATATACTCTTGGTGTATTCTTTTTAATGTTTCATCAACCATTGTTGAAGCACCCTTTGTCCATAATAAATAACAGAGGGAGCAGAAATCAAAGATTTTTGGAGAAACATGCACTTTATTTGTTGTTTATGCGCACTGTTAGTTTGTTTCTCAATCACCATAACTATGATAACTTTAATCAATGTTAATGGGTTGTATAATGAAAAAAGTTATATTTCAAAGAACCAAGCTTGTAAATTGTACTGACATAAACCGTAAACCTTCATCCGTTACTACTATTATTATTATTATTATTATTATTATTATTATGCTACAATTCAAAAGCTATAATTAAAACAACAAAGAAACATAAAATTGTGAATTTGTAACAAAAAGTTGATTAGTTGGTATATATCAGCGCCGTCAAAAAAAATGTTAAAGTTGTATTATTTTTTTTCTATTATAAACTAATTAAAAATGAAACAAATTAAAAACTATTATATTTTATATATATAAAAAAAAATCGAACCGCGTTCGAATTATCTTCAATAATTGTATGTAGAGTAACTTTTGCAAACACATGAGTTGTGTTTTTAACTTTGAAATTAGCTACGCGTAATATGTGCTTGTGTTGACTTTATTGTCTGAATTTGGAACACACATAGGCTGGTCAATATTGGTATTTTTACATAGTACATAAGACAGGTTTAGGTACAAAGAAAACAAATAAACAATGCTAAAATGCTTTTATTGTTGAATCACAATGAATCAAATCACTAGCTAGAGTTTGATGATGATGATGTTTTTTTTTTTTTTTGATGATGAAATTTTTCTTTAAATGTTGCAAATTGTTACTTTTCAATTTTCAAGATTTGATATAACAAAACGACACTATTATTAAAAGTTGTTACCAAAGTAAAACTACATTTTAACTTCAAGGCTGAGATGCATGCATTCAGTGTTGAAATTTCAGCGCGGTGTTCCATGCACAATCCCTCAAAAGGAAACAAAATGGTCACCGGTATCCTTAATAGTGTCACCGATTAAATTTGGGAGAGCGTGTTTTAGTTGGTGATAACAATTATTTTTGTTTTTGCGTGGATCAGAATGAATAGGGATCAACGAATTAATTTTGGTATTAGCGAATAATTTTGTTTAAAGAAGATAAAAGTTTATTTAAATAAAATATTTCTATTTTATTTTTTTAGTTTTATTTAGTCGAAACTAATTAACAAAGTTTTCCTTAGTCAAAACTAATTAACAAAGTTTTCCTTAGTTAAAACTAATTAACTTATCACAAAGTTATTACAAAGTTTTCCTTAGTCGAAGCTAATTTATTAACTTATTACCAAGTTAATCTTTATTATGAAACTTTAAGACAAAGTTATTAACAAGTTATTTTACAAGCAAGTCAAATTTGAGCTTCTTTTATACAATTAAATTATTTAGTAACAACTTCATTGCAATCTAACATTCTAGCCGCGATATCGCACTTTAATTGCGACGTAACATTCTAACCGCGACGCTAATTTCTAAATAAAGCTAACTAATTTCGACGTCATACGAATAAAAATGTAATATAATAAAAATAATAAAAATGTAAGCAAATATGAATAAAAATAAAATAAGAAATAAAATATAAGGAATAAATAAATGTAGTTATAAAAATAAAGTAAATAAAATAAAAATAGAAATAAAAGATTTGGTTCGGAATTAGGGTATTTCGACTAACAAATAATCGTTAAATCCTAATTCTGGTAACACAAGTAATATCTTTAAACTCATCTTTTACCAATGGACAAATATTATTATAAAGGTATTCTTACCTTGCAATCCAGATGAGGAAGTTTTAACACTGAAATAAATAAAGCTTTAATTTCTTCAAAAATATCTGCTCTCTTAGTTTTCAATAAATCGAATTCAGCAAAGATCCATTAGCAACTTCTTGAGTTTTGACCACACCAGGATTAGATACTTCAAAAGAAAATGTTGATATTTTTGCAACCATTTAATTTTTTAAAATAATAGATTTGACATCCAAATATTGAAAGCCTTTTCCACCTTCATAGCATTAAGCCTTCAATCCTGCTGGACTAGATCTTTTTACTACATCAACCACATGCACTTTTGTCAATCACCATCTTGGTTTTTTATTGAAGCATTCTTTTGTAGGTAACAGTATAGGAAAAAGTGACTGATTTGTCACAAACACAAAAGGAGATGATGTGTTCTGTACGATCTGGAGATAGGCCGGACCTACAGGTTCTTCTAATGCATGATTCAGCTAAGTGGGAATTATCTTTTACAGAGATTTTGCAATTAAAGCCTTGTGTGGATAAACAGATTCTGATTGGAAAAAAATAAACCATCTTTGCAAGGATGGGATTGATATAAGATTTGGGAATCTATTTAAGGGGAAAGACATCAAGTCTGATAATGCAAAACTCCTAATCGATAGGCTCCTCCAAATACCATTTATTGGAATTCAAGTGATGTGTAATCATGTGATAGTTTTTGGGAGTGATTTTTACAATAATTCTTTTTATCATTCTTTTAAAATATGCGAATATACAATCCCCTTAAAAGTTTCAGATCACCATAACATAAAATTTTTTTAAAAAAGTTCATTAATAGTGAAATGCTACTTAGAAAAAATAGTCAATAATTTTGTTCAGATTAATGATAGGATTGATATTTTACCTAATTTACCTGTAATTGAAAACTCAGGCATCAGTTCTACTATGTCAATCTTGACAGCATTTCATTTTAATAGAGCTAGTTTCGCTAATATTAACAATATATGGGAATTTACTTTGACTGAAAAAAAATAAGCCAATTAATTCCTATTACTATACATATCAAGAATTCCCAAACTGATATTATTTATCTCTAGATATCTACATACCTCTTCATAATCAAATACCGCCTTCATATCTTGAGTGTTCCTATTTATGATAATTATATCTTCATCCATGATATTTACTTTTAAAATTAATAGTAGTGTTACAGGCACCCTGAATATAATTATATCACTTAATATTAATAAATCTCAATAATAGTGTTAGTAAATATCACATCAATTATCATGTTCAGAGGTCCTGGCATAACATATGCATGTGAAATAAGAAATTTGGTCAGTTGATCAATTTGTATTACAGCATTGCATTTCACATATACTCCTAAATTCATCAAAAAAATCTTTCATCAACTGTTACTTTTTTGAACATGTCTTCATCAACAGAAGAATTTTATATATTTGTGGAAAACTGGGACATGGAAACTCTCATTATTTTTTTAAAACATCAAGATCTGAACCTTGAAGAGAGACATTTAGGATTTCTTCATAAGCAAGAAATTAATGGACAAGCCTTTCTTCTCTTGACTGAGGAAAAGCCTTTAGGCCCTCCTTGTAACCTCACTGTTGGTCCTGATTTAATTCTTGCAGAGCAGATTAAGATATTAAAAGATAATAAGAAGAGGGCATTTTCATCCTTCAAGACCCAGAATGATTTGAAAGAAGTTTTAAAAAATCATGGAATTGTCGATGGATACAGTATTATTAACATCCCACAATTTGAACCAGGTAAGCATTTCTTGATAAAATTTAGTGGAATCAGATGAGTATGCTCATTATGCATTTATTCATTCTAGTCACCTATAAAATCAGAGATGATGAACCAGCTTTAAAATTATGCATAGATGGCATTATACAAAGATTAAGAAACATGGGACCAGTAATTGATAGTAATGAAGCAATGAGATGTGAATATATTTCAGCAATTTTGCATTTGGCAGTTACAATAGTTAAAGGTCTTATCAAAGATCATGCCACAAATGTTTAAATTTCACCTCAGTTAGAAGTATCCAGCATTGAAAGTCATGGTCATGTAGATTACACAATTAAAAAGCACCTAGACAATACAATTGAAAAAATTTTCTGTATAACTGAAGGAAAGCAGTATCAACCAGGAATTGGAATGGCGCAAAATATTATGCAATGCAAAAATTCATGTGATGTAAGTTTTTCATGCCTTATAGTTTTTCAAAATTGGAATTTTTTTTGTTAATACAATACTGCATACTTCAGACAAACAGGAGAAAAAGAAAGGCTGAGAAGGCATTTGAATCTGACTATGAGTACATCTATGGTATAGTTTCTACTGGGATGGACTGGTTCTTCCTTCTTTATACAATGGATGGTATTTATTGTACTAGTAAAACAGAATACCATATTTCACTTACCAAAGCATCTCTTAAAGATTGTACTGCATTAAAAAGTAATGTTAAAAGGATTTTGGAAGTGATTGTTGGATTATTGGAGGATTGAGCAAATATTGACATGTCACCAGCAACAAAGAAAGCAAGAATTAGTAAATACTTTCAAAATGAATGTTAAAAAAATTGAATGCTATCATGTAATTTGATTTGTAATAAAGTTTTATTGTTATGAAAATTATTTATTTTTGATGGATACTTTAATGCGCCTTTGTGACTTTTGTATCACAAAATTTTTATCTAAATTTACATTGCACCATCAGTCAATTGATATATTTGTGCAACTCTCAGTAAATACTTATGTTATATCATCCCCTTCGGTGTTAAAAATTCAATTGGCGCGTGTTACGTTACACAGAACATATGCATGTCTATTTTTTTTTTAGCAAAAAAAAAATTAAATTAAACATTTCTTCAGAGTAACGACGAGTGGCGGGCGATAACCACCACCACCATCCTTAAAACACTTATCCACGATCCTCGGCAATGCCTTTATTGTCGCTTCTTTTACTTCGAGGCATGTTTAAAAAAAAAAGAAGTTTGTTATTTGATCGACGCGTACACATTAATTATTTATCCTATTGGTTTTTTTTTTTGGTATATAGGACAGACGAGAATTGATTTTTTTTTTTTTTGGAAAAACATTAAAAATAATTTATTTTTTGACAGTCCAAGATGACAAAACGTGAGTGTTGTTGTTGGTTTGATTTGGATCACCTAAAGAATACGTGTTAATAACTAACCAGAGGTACTATTTTTTATTTGTATTGTCTTTTTTGGTTATTATAAATATTTTAATTGGAATCAAAACGCGGAGCAGATCTTGCTGGGTAATTACAAGATTTTCATTGATAATATTTTGCTTTGCGTAATCGTAATAATAATAATACTATTATTAATATATAATTACAAGATGTCAAGGCAGCATTGACTGTTGCAAAAGAAACAATTCAAATATGCGATGTTTGATTATCAGAAATTGGCAAGTGTTGAAGCACGCACACTACCTTGAACACTTTACAGCCATTCTCTCACATCTTCCTCATGTGCACAAGGCTAATCTGACCTGATGGATCGATGATACAATGATGCAACAGAATTCCAGGGGTAATACGGGCCCTGGAGTTTATTGAGGCTGCATCGATCATCAAGGATGTTTTCCCGTATACAAGTAAGTATTATTATAACTATTATTGCTTGTTATTTTGTTTAGTCCAAGATCTAGTTAGTAAGTAATAATAAATCAAATCTAACGCAAAATTTTAAAATGATTAATATAGTAGCAGCCTTTTCAATTCCAACAAAATTATTTTACCTTCAAATCATGTTAATAAGCTTACAAATGATCTAAAAAAAATGTTAATTGGATCAGATTTTTATGATACAGAATTAAAATTAGAGCAGAACAGGATGACATTAGAATTTTCAATGCTCATTCGTGCATTTTAAAAGCAAGGTCCTCATATTTTAAGGCTGCCCTATCAAATAATTAGGCAAAAAAGTCTGAAGATGATAATTTTTTATTTGAAAAAGACAATATATCTCCAAAGACATTTGGAATTATTTTAATGTAAGATTAGTTTAATTTAATTTAATTAAATGATTAAATTTGATTAATTATACAGTAGATCTAAAATTATTAAAATAAAAAAACTTTGTTTTTTAAAAAAAGCATGTTTATAATGGATTTGTTGACATAGATAATTTGAATCCGAATGAAATTGTTGAACTTCTCCTTGTGTGTGATGAATTAAATTTTAATAAATCAGATTTCAATGAATTACTTGATGATTTGCAGAATCAACTAATTGCAAAAGAGAAAGAATGGGTTCCAGAAAATCTAAATAATCTATATCAAACTTCATTCAGATATCAATCATTTAATATACTTAAGATTATTTTGAAAGCTTGATTAATAATACAGCAGAATATTTCTTAAAATTTAATGATTACAGAAATATTGAAAAGTATCTATTTTAAAAAAAGGCATTTTGAATTTAAAAGAAATTAATATTTGGGGACCATGTATATTCAATGGGAAATTGGAAAAATTGAAAAAGTAGGAGAAAAAAATATTTCAGAATTGAATGAAGATGACTTCAAAGAATTGATTCAATAATTATATAGGTGAGTTTTATTGAAGTAAGTGTCAAAGGATCTATGAAGCTTGCAAAATGAAGATGATTTCAAAGAATTGGAAAACATATTTGAAGATATTATCTCCTTAATTAGATTTCTGAATATTACTAGTGAGGATTTTAATGACAAAATCATGCCATATAAAAAATTATTTCCTACAACTTTGTGGAAAGATATTTCATGTTATTATTTGGCTCCTGACAAACTATCAATATCAAATTTATTGTAATCAAGAATAACCATTGATTCAACAACAATTATTAGCAAAAAGGCTATTTTACTTTTTGCAAGTTG